TTATTATTATTATTATTATTATTATTATTATTATTATTATTATTATTATTATTATTATTATTATTATTGCCATTATTACCATCATCATCGTCATTATTATTTATCTGGTAGATTAAGCACAAGGATATATTTGAAAGGATTGCATTATTCTCATAAAATATCGTCATAAAATTTTTTAAATTCATATTCAAAATTTAATTATATTTTTTATATTTAAATTCGAAATTTAATTCTAATTTTGAATTTATATTCAAAGTTCAATTATCTATTAAATTTCCACCGTGTAAAAAGTCAAATAACGAAATTAAAAATTTTGTCAATATCTTTGCATAAGCATGATTACTTTAAAGATAACCTAACAATTTAATTGATAATTCATTGCGAACAAATAAAAGATTGTCATTTACCTGTAAATAGATCGACATGGATGAGGTATTCCAATTTGTCGCAATGTACAACGACCATTTTTAGCGACCAGACGTGGACGACAAATTTTTGTTTTTATTAATGGTGAATTGAGTAATGCTTCGTGATTGTCATTATCATCCATTGTTCCATAACACCACTACTTCTGTCTTCGTCCTTTCAAATCTTAATTACTTTAATGAAATATTGGATGATTCTTTGAATTGATCATTAAAATGATTAATTATTAAACTTTTAAAATGTGATATCTTTTAATCATTTACTAAAATGTGCATCATAATATCACGAAATTTAATTAAAATTAATTCACATTTTCTTCGATAATGTAATTTTTACTCTTTATCATTTATAATTTTATAAATTTTTAATCAAATCCCTTTCTTCATACAGGATAAAATAAACGAAATGAAATATTTGACTAAATAAAAAGCATTACTTGTTGATTTTACAAAAATAGATTAAAGATCAAAATTTGTTATATATTTATTGGATAAATCAATTAAATTAACATTGAAAATAATTCATTTTCACTTTTTTTTACACCTTGCAGATTTCTCGTATTCCTTTTCCTCATTTCATTCATTTAACATTTCAATTTTAAATTCATAACAATTTCAAATATTTATTGAGAATTGAATGAGAATAAATAAAGCGAAACATGATAAGTTATTCTAGAAATTTTCATATAACATTTCTGTCTATCTAATAAACAAATGATTCACTCATCCGAAAAAAAAAAAAAAAGAAAATAAAACTTGTTAAAAGCTTCTTTATAAATAATCAATGAATGATAATGTCAAACGGACTTATCAAATCATGATTGAGTAAACTTGCCAAATTTCTTTGTCAATTATTATTAAGTAATATCTCCGTATCATTCTTT